CACACACACACATACATACATACATACATACATACATACATACACACACACTCATACACAGTCTTACACACCACACAGTCATACACAAAAACACACACACTCTAAGACACACACGCAGACAACCCAGACACATAAAGACGCACACACACAGACAGACACAGCTATACAGACACACCCAAACACACACATATACACACGCTGCAGTACAAAAAGATACCTACAAACACACACATACAGACATAAGCTCACACACACGCGAAATCACAGGCACACAGACACATACACACACACAGGCAGAGACGCACTTAGACACCCACACACAGACACACAAAAGGACATACGCAACATTCACACACACAGAGACACACACAGACACGCACACAGTCACACGCGCAGTCACACATACGCACACACACGTATACACACATGCAAACATTATATAATAGACACACTCATAGAGACACACATTCAGATTTACACAAAGCCACACACACAGACGCAGACACACAGAGATACACATACACACAGACACGCCTACAGACACATATATGATACACGCAGACAGTCACATGCAGACAGACACACACATATGGACACACATAGACACACACACACTGAGGCAGACACACATACACACAAACACACCCACAGAAACACAGACACGCACACAGACACATCCACAGACACAAACATATAGACACACACATAGACCTACACAACACTCACACAGACACACACGCACAGAGAGACACGCACACTGACACACACGCAGCCACAGGCACACACACACACACACACACACACATATATATATATATATATATATATATATATATATATATATATATATATAGACACACACACATAAATATATATGAACACCCACACATATATGCCTCTGTTTTGGCTGTCTGGTTACCTTTGTTTTAGTAGACTGCTGGTGTAAACAGTTTGAACACCACCCCTGTTAAGCTACGAATGGCTCCAGATATATCTAGAGCTGGCCGTGGTGAAGCTCAAGGGATTTTGCCTTTGTTAATCCTAGATCGAATGTGCTGAATAAGTTTCCCCAAGTTTTTGTTTCTAGATGTATTCAAGGTGCTATTTTCTTAATTCGTATTCTGTTGGCACGCATTTTCATGTCTTTAATTTCCGTGCTCCGGCATTCGAGAATTTACTTTATTTATTTCAACGTAGCCCTTTCGTGTTTATTTTATCTGTCGCAAGTTTTTATTGCGAAACCCAGTCGAAAAAAAAACACACACACACACACACAACAGAAAAAAAAAAAAAAAAAAATAGAAACAGAATGACATTAACTTCCACAAATTTAAGGCAGATAAACATACATCAGACAATTTATGTTATCATATGTTACAAGATTTAAAAAAAAAAGGCAATGTATTAGACACATACTGAGACAAAGTAAACACAAAACAGACATTGAAATACACAACACACGGAGTGAGGTAGCAAATCCGTTGAAGAGAAACATACTCTAATGTTGAGAGAAACTAGAGGTGCCGGACTAGACCCAAGCACAATGAAAAAGTGTAGAACAGAATGGAGCAGTTAAAAGAAAGTCATGACGGGAGATGTGAACCAGCGTCATTGCACACGGTTATAAATCATAAGTGCTCTGCCACCAGTACGGACAGTCGATAAGAAGCTGCCCGCCTGTGTCGCCGTCCGAACGAAACTCCGTATCTACAGTGACGCTCCTCTTTTTACCCCAGAGTGTTAACTCTGGTACCTTTTTCCTAGAAGCTGGGTGAGCCCCGGAAACCGTCTCCTATTGACTGCACTAACGCGGCCCGAAGCAATCGAAAGCTAGTCCTAAGTGATGCGTATGTGTGTGTGTGTCTGTGCTGGTGTGTCTGTGGGTGTGTGTCTATATGCGTGTTTTTATGTGTATATGTGTGTGTTTGTATACGTGTCTGCGCGTGTGTGTGTGTGTCTGTATGTGTTCCTCTGTGCGTGTCAGTGTGCGTGTATGTCTGTGTTTGTGTGTCTGTGGGTGCGTGTCCATGTGTGTGTTTGTGTATGTGTGGCTGCGTGTGTTTGTGCTTGTGTGTTTATGTGTGTGTTTAAATGTATATATATATATATATATATATATATATATATATATATATATATATATATATATATATATATGTGTGTGTGTGTGTGTTTGTGTGTGAGGCTGCGTGTTTTTTTCTCTGTGTGTGTGTGCGTGTCTGTCTATTTGTGAGTGTCTGTGTGTGTCTATGTATGTGTCTGATGGTGGTGTCACAGTGTGTTGCTGCGTGTATGTCTGTGTGTCTAGGCCTGTGTCTAGGCTGTCTCTGTGTATGTGTGTCTAGGCTGTCTCTGTGAGTGTGGCTTCGTGTGTATCTGTGTGTGTGTATGTGTGTACGTATTTTTGATAATGTCTGAGTTTGTCTGTGTGTGTGTGTGTCTGCGTGTGTGTCAGTGTGCGTGTCTCTCTATGCGTGTGTGTCTGTGTGAGTGTTGTGTAGGTCTATGTGTGTGTCTATATGTTTGTAACATATGATAACATAAATTGTCTGATGTATGTTTATCTGCCTTAAATTTGTGGAAGTTAATGTCATTCTGTTTCTATTTTTTTTTTTTTCTGTTTGTGTGTGTGTGTGTGTTTTTTTTTTCGACTGGGTTTCGCAATAAAAACTTGCGACAGATAAAATAAACACGAAAGGGCTACGTTGAAATAAATAAAGTAAATTCTCGAATGCCGGAGCACGGAAATTAAAGACATGAAAATGCGTGCCAACAGAATTCGAATTAAGAAAATAGCACCTTGAATACATCTAGAAACAAAAACTTGGGGAAACTTATTCAGCACATTCGATCTAGGATTAACAACGGCAAAATCCCTTGAGCTTCACCACGGCCAGCTCTAGATATATCTGGAGCCATTCGTAGCTTAACAGGGGTGGTGTTCAAACTGTTTACACCAGCAGTCTACTAAAACAAAGGTTACCAGACAGCCTAAACAGAGGCATATATGTGTGGGTGTTCATATATATTTATGTGTGTGTGTATATATATATATATATATATATATATATATATATATATATATATATATATATATATATATATACATGTGTGTGTGTGTGTGCCTGTGGCTGCGTGTGTGTGTGTGGGGGTTATTTCTGTATGTGTGTGTGTGTATATATATATATATATATATATATATATATATATATATATATATATATATATATATATATATTTCACACTCTAAGACACACACGCAAAAAACCCGGACACATACAGACGAACACACACAGACACTCACAGCTATACAGACACACACACACACACACACACACACAAACACACACATACACACACGCAGTCGTACAAAAAGACACCTACAAACACACACATACAGAAATAAACCCACACACACACACGCAGCCACAGGCACACACACACAGACATATATATATATATTTATAAACACACACGCACATACAAACACACATTATATACACAGAGATATTCTATGGTGTATGCAACGGTACGTAGTACCCGCACAATTTTTTAATGGCATAATTTTTTCAGCGCTACGGTATACGCCTTTTTTGGTGAGTATAGGCATCATTTTTTTTAAAACATTTTGTGATGAGTACTGGCATCTTTTTTTTTAAACACTTCGTGATGAGTGCTGGCATCTTTTTTAACACTTTGTGGTGAGTACCAACATCTATTTTAACACTTTGTGGTGAGTACCGGCATCTTTCTTAACACTTTGTGGTGAGTATCGGCATTTTTTTTAACACTTTGTGGTGAGAACTGGCATAATTTTTTAACACTTTGTGGTGAGTACTGGCATTTTTTTCAAACACTTTGTGGTGAGCAGTTTAACCTTTTTTACACTTAGACATGGTGTACTGAGAGTACAGACACCATTTTTTTTTTAAATTTTCTAGAGGGGAAAAAAGCTCTACTATTAACTATACTTCTTCTTCCTAAAAGTACATGCCAAGTGGCAAGGGTAGTCATGTCTATCATCAACCTTCTGTCTCGTGTACTTTCAGTCAACTCTGAGACAGATGATCCTCCATGCCATAATGTCAGACTGTGCAGCATCATTTCGCTCGGTCTCCCTCTGCTCTCCTTCCCTCCAACTTTCATACTGTCACGATGTACTTCAGTTTTCTCCTTCTCATTACAGGACCAAAGAACACAGACTGTCTTTTTCTGATGTGAGCAATCAGTTTTTTTTCGTAAGTTAGTTTGTTAATCATAGTAGTGTATGAATCAACTTGAGGTATTATTTACATCCAAGGCCTTAGCAGCCTCCCTCTTGATCCTTAGTAAAAGATGGCGGCCATCTGACGTCACAATTGATTGGTTTTCTCCGGAAGGCTTCAAGCTTCCCTCTTTATCCTTAGTAAATATCTATCAGGAGGCTAATGACGTCACGAGTGATTGGTTTTCGGGGAGGGTAAGGTTATATGAAATCGATACTTTGTCTCCATTGTCTCCCAGGGTGCCGGGCGGGGGAAGACATATGGTGTATAAATCTATACTTTGTCTCCATAGCAACGGGTGACTCATTGTCGGTATGTCGGGGTGGGCAAATCGATACTTTGCCGGCGAATTATTGTCTTTAAAGCAGCAGGCGACAGGTGGCCGATGACTCGTCTGTCGATGAGGTTATATCACTGGTGATGTCAGGAGCGATATATCAGTGAGCAGTGGGACGGGCAGAGCAGTGGACCCGGGGTGACAGGGCAACTAAAAGGGTTGGGGCTGGTTTATGGGTTCTGTAATATAAAAAAAAAATATAGGGATGGTTTGTTAGCGGGGAATGTATATGTTATAGAATAAAACAATTTAGGGGATATGAAAATAGACTTATAGGTGACAGTGACGGGCGACCGTTTTAGGATTTTGACGGGTGGACGTTTTAGTGTTGGGATAAAAAACCTAGGAAAGTGGCTTGATGACCGTGAATATATGAGAAAGGGTGGCTCGGGCGCCAGCACCATCATCTGTGTCATGGTTTCGAAGGCTGGTCACTTAGGGATGGTTTGAGCTGTAGTAAAAGGGAGAAGTGTCTTGTCATAGTGTTAGATGTTGGTAGTTTAGGTTGTAGTAAAAATGAAAACTTTAGCAAAGTGGCGGCCGTTGTGACATATTATTGGAGGCCGGCCGCTCATGGAGGGTTTCAATTGAAGTTAAAAAGGGAAATTTATGGCAGAATGGTGACCTTTATGTCATAGTAGCGAATGCCGGCCACTCAGGGGTGGTTTGAACTGTAGTAAAAATGAGAACGTACAACAGAAGGGCGGGTGTCTTGTCATAGTGTTAGAGGTTGGTAGTTTAGGAAGGGTTTAGGTTGTAGAAAAAAAATGAAAATTTTAGCAAAATAGTGGCCCTTGTGACATATCAATGGATGCCGGCCTCTCAAAGAAGGTTTGGGTTGAAGTAAAAAATGGGAATTCATAGCTAAACGGTGACACTTGTGGCATAGCAGCGAATGCCGGCCACTCAGGGAGGGTTTGGGTTGAAGTAAAAAGGGGCAATTTATGGCAAAACGGCGACCATTGTGTCATAGCAGCGACCGTCGGCCTCTCATGGAGGGTTTAAGTCTAAGTAAAAAGGGGACATTAAGGCAAAACGGTGACTCTTGTGTCATACTAGAGAATGCCAGCTGATCAGGGAGGGTTTGAGTTTTTTTAAAAAAGGGTGTGAAATATATGGCAAGATGGCGACCTTTGCGGCATAGGTGCAAAGGCTGGCTGCACATGGAGGGTTTGAGGTGTAGTAAAAAGGAAAACATACGATATGTGCTGGGTGTCTTGTCATAGTGTTAGATGTTGATAGGTTAGGGAGGGTTTAGGTTGTAAAAAAAATGAAAACTTTAGCAAAAGGGCAGCTGCTGCGACCTATTATTGGATGCCAGCCGCTCATGGTTAGTTTAAGTTGTATTGGGAAAAAATAGCAAAAAGGCGACCATTGTGTCAAAGTGTCGCGTTCTGGCCGTACAGATATGGTTGAGCTGTAAAAAAGGAGAACTGTTGTGACACAGCAAGTCACTCGATGGTTTTCTCTACGGGAAACCACAAGTCACTCAAGAGGCAGAGCAAGTCTTTCACTGGTATTGTCAAGTCAGTCACCGACGTGTTTAATTAAGTAGTGCACTGTCCTTGGGACACAACAAATCACTCGATGTTTTTTTTTTGACGGGACACCTCAAGTCACTTAAGTCTTCTTCGTTACTTCGGCTTTGTCAGCGTCCTCGTTGTCGTCTTCCTTGTTGACTTCGGCGGCGTCATCGTCTTCGGCGTCGTCGTCGCCTTCGTAGTCGACTGCATAGCCTAAGTTTTTCACAAACTGTCCCGGATGTCTCGAACATGAGGCGACTTTAGGAAAACAGGAGACTTGTCGTCTTTGCAGCTGTCTTCCTCTTCATCGGCTCATCTTCGGCGTTGTCAGCGCGTTGTGGGACAGCGTAAGTCAGTCGTTCACCAACTTTTCTTGGTAAGTCATTAATTAGCATTGGTTCTATTCGAGTCACTAAGATGTCTTTTATGTTGGGAAAACACTCGATGTCTTGGTCATTTGGACATCTTAAATCGCACAAGGTAGTACACACAGCTTTCCCCAGTTGTTCCTGACGACTCATACACACTGTGACTTTTGGAAAACACGAGGTAACATTCAGAAAACACAAGGCAACTTTTAGAAACCAGAAGGCGACTTTAAGAAACCAGAGGGCGACTTTAAGAAAACAGAGGGCGACCTTTAGAAACCAAAGGGCAACTTTTAGAAACCTGAGGGCGACTTTTTGAAACCCGAGGGTGAATTGTAGAAAACACTAGGCAACATAACGAGAGGGCGACTTTTACGAAACATAATATGACTTTGATGAAACACGAGGCGACATTTTATGCAACATAGGGCGCCTTTTAAGAAACACATGACGACTTTTACAAAATACAAAAAAAAAAAAAAAAACGACACTGTGACAAAATTGTCGCTATTCTCACAAACATGTTTTGTTTCACTGGACATGTCAAAGAGCTTCAAAACAATCCCAATTTTCTTGACATTCCTTACAGCGATTGCTATATTTTACTACTCGACCACTTTAAGGGGCGCGATGTCTTTTCCTTCTACCGTATTTGCACAAACTCGGCTAACCAACTAGTCGCCTTTGAAACTAGATGTCCAATAATCTGTTACCCGGGTCGTCTACCAGGTTGTGTTATAGTAAATGTTATCTTACTAAAAACACACAAACCTTTTCGATGGTTCTTCAAGGAGACTGTCGTCTCTAGCTAATAAACTACATGTCCCAACGACGGGCTGTTCAACGAAACTGTTTTCTATAGTCGCCCCCATGGTGGTACCATTCATGACTGTGAATTTTCACAAATTTAAAGGAATGATTTAGAAAAACAATCTGCTGGACGACTATCTGTTTCTTCTGGTCGTCTGTCAGAGGCGCCATAAGTAACTGTACACTTACAAGCGTTGTCAACCATCCTTCACAGGAGCTATCTTACAAACTATTCGTTCTGTCAGCAGGCTGTATGAACGACGCTTATCAACAGGCTATCCGAATAATGAGCTCTCCAGTAGGCTTTCACTGTGTTGTAGTATTGGTGACTTCGTCTTCCTATACACTTTCAAAATGTGTAACTGTCGGAGGTTATCGATTTCATATACCTTACCCCTCCTCGAAAACCTATCACTCGTGACGTCATCAGCCTCGCGATCGATATTTACTAAGGATAAAGAGGGAGGCTTACAGACTCCCGGAGAAAACCAATTACTTGTGACGTCAGATGACCGCTATCTTTTACTAAGGATAAAAAGGGAGGCTGCTAAGGCCCCAGATGTAAATAATACCTTAGGTTGATTCATACACTACTAACCATACATGCAATTAAAATTATACATACCTATGAGAATAACTAACGATTTGTATTATTATCTATTACAGAGGGTTACGAATGCCGAGCATTTGCTACAGCATCTCGGTTCTTCGCAGCCATCAACGTGCCTTACGTTTTCATGGAGTGGAGACAGATGAGGGAGAGGCAGCATTTGGCTGACACTGCTTGTAGAACGGAGCAGATCAGAACTTTGAGTAATTTCTTTTCAGACAGGGGATACATTCCACACGAGGTCAGATCGGGGATTCTGCTCAACCCATACAATGCTGTAAATTATATAGTTGGTGATATCTATTGGAGGAAGAAAGATCAGGACATGCTAGTGCCGTCCTTGTGAGAATATGGGGATAGATGGGAGGGAGAGTGAGTGAGTTAAGTGAGTGGAGTGAGTGAGTGTGTGAGTGAAAAAAGGAGTGCAAGAGAATGTACGGTGAAGATACTGGGTATGAACGAAAGAGAATCAACTTGATTGCAACGGTGTTTTATCCCCTACGATACGCTTTCTTTCTTCATGGCCATTGTTCTTCCGTAGACAGCATCAGGCAAAGCACATAACTCGGTAGCTCTAGTGACAACCAACAGAGATTTCAGAAATATCTACACTCAATGGGCAGAGACCAAAATCGAAACAACGACCTTGAGAGCGAGAGACGGAGAGAGAGAGAGAGAGAGAGAGAGAGAGAGAGAGAGAGAGAGAGAGAGAGAGAGAGAGAGAGAGACTACCTAACCCTTAATCAGGCAACGCATGCACACATAATGGCTTACAGCAGTGGTCTCCTAATTTTGTTCAGGTCACGTCCTCCTTGAGCATATGGCAAAACCCCCAGGCCCCTCTTGGCTATATGGCAAGACACCCACGCCCCTCTTGGGTATATGGCAAAACCCCCAGGCCCCTCTTGGCTATATGGCAAGACACCCACGCCCCTCTTGGGTATATGGCCAATTCTGTGAACTTTTGAATCTACTATATGTAGGTCAAGGGCTGCACGCACAATGCGCCAAATAATAACAACATCTGGGAAAGTTCGAAAGAACGAACCTGACAAGGAAAAATTCATCTTGTACAACAAAATAACAATTTCATGCAATAAACCCCTATTGTTGATTGTTATAAACATAATTCTTACATGCCATATAAAATAAGTACTGACTTTTGCGGATGATATACTTGCATTTAGGCACACAAAAAGGGGGGGGGGGGGAGGAGGAAACAAATAGCCCGGGAGCTACAAGCGACGGTAGACAAAGTGACTGAGTGGTGTAAAGAAATGAGCGCTGTCGTCCACCCGGAAAAGGCGTCTGTTTTGTGGTGTTCTCTAGACAACAGGATCGTTAGAGCTAATGTCCCAAGTCTCACGATATATGGTAGCAAGCCAATAGAGAGAGCAAACTGAAGTATTTGTGAATTACATTTGACAGGAACCTGTCCTTTAAGGACCATGTGGGGAGTGTTGTGACAAGATGCTAAAAAAGGACGTAGTGCACTTAAGACTACGGCAGCAATTGACATAGAGCAGAGAATGCTCTTCACACTATATCAGCACCTGATCCTGTCAGTGGTTGATTATGGCCTGGGACTGCTTACCGTCTCAAAGAGTCAGATGGACAGACTAGAGCGCATACACAACGCAGCTATGCGGGTCATTCTGGGTTGCACCAAAGATGTATGCGATACACCCTTGGTTTGCCGACTGTTGCAGGTATGCACAAGGTGCTGCAGGCGAAGTCATATCTCAAAGTAGCTGCAGTTACAGACCACCCTTTGCACTATGCTCTAGGCATAGTTAGGGAACAGAGGCTGATAAGAGGGAAGACATGAATGGCTCAGGCAGAAGACATAATCAGACAGGTTTGCATTCTTGAGAACATTAGGCCAGGAGAGGAGTGGGTCAAAGTGTCACCTGAATAGTCAGACTTGTGTAGGGTCATAATCACACTGAGCTGGGAATTCAGAGACTGATCAGCAGGTGCCTCGGATGTTTAGTGTCAAGAGGCAAAAGAAGTGCTTGGGGCTTTTTAGCAAAAGTTAATGGTCGACGTTTGGTGCAGGAGAGCCTAGCATATGATCCTACAACATCCAGTTTAAAAATGGAGGTGGAGACGGTCACTGGTGCTTTCCGCTGGTTAGAGAACACCACACACACACACACAAAATGATGGAATACTGATGCATGAAAGGCAGACGTGGTTAGTGCCTTGTGGGAGAGCGTGCACGGTTCAGAGGAGCAGATAGATCACCACAGTCTGGTGAGATTGATGAAAAGGGGGGGGGGGGAGTGACGAGAGGTTCTGGCAGATGCTCGAGGCTCAGAGGAAAGGCAAGACGGACGTTTAATCAGAATGTTACCGGTACCATTAGTATCGGAACTCTTCACTGGTTGCTTATGGGAATGCCCCGAGTACTGTGATGTCGGTTCTTGAATCAACTCAACTCATAAAAAAAGTTTTACGCATGGCTGTTACCCCTACACTAGTAGTAGTAGATTTTTACCCTACCAGGACATCACACAAGCAATATACACCCGATGACACAAAGTGCCACAATGTGGATGAGGATCACCGAGGAGAGGTCCCAGAAACCACGTTCAGCCATCAGACTGTATTTATGGTCGGGCTATATTGCGGCCCCTGGCAAGAGCCAGAGAAGGGTTTCAAAAAATGAAAAATTTCATCCTAATAAGGACAGGTGCCTTGTCGACTGGCGTGGGCGATCATGCCTCTCCATTATCTGCGATCTCCTGCAGCATGTATTAGTTCGTGTGCCGACACACCTCCATGCCAAGACTGTCAAGCATCTTCTCTCGTTGTCTTCCTCTATCCCCCTTTCCACAGATCTTTCCAGTGGTCACAACATGTTCTATTTTCCCTCTTCTCATAACATGGCCGAAAAATGATGACTGTCTCCTTCTGACATCTGTGATAAGTTGTCTTCGGGCTCCCGCCTCTTTCAAAACCTCTTGGTTGCTCTTTTTGGCTGTCCAAGGTATTCTAAGCATTCTTCTGTAAAACCACATCTCTGAATCCTCTAAAAATTGTTTGGCCTGCCTACCGATTATCCAGGATTCACATCCATATGTTAAAACTGGATGTATGTAGCAAGCAAGAATTCTTTTTCTAACTCTCAATGACAAGGATATATTGCACAAGATGTTTTTCATTTTATAAAATGCAGTTTTTGCCTGCCCAATTCTGTTTCTTATTTCAGTTATGCATCTTCCATCTGATGTTATCCATGTGCCCAGATACTTAAATTTCTGTACTTTTCCTAAAATAACACCATTGACTTTTATTACACATTTAGGAATAATTTGTTTCTTTGATACCATCATTACTTCTGTCTTCCCATTATTCAAACTGAGGCCCATTCTTCCACTTTCTAACACCACAATGTCTATCATTTCATGTAATTCTTTCTGACTTGTTGCTATCAAGACTGTGTCATCAGCATAACGTAAATTGTTTATATTGTGCCCACCAACCACAATTCTGGGCATATCAATTAAAGATCTCATTATATATTCACTGTATATTGAAAACAAATCAGGTGACAGTACACATCCTTGTCGCACGCCCCTCGTTATGCTTTGAAATGTACCTAAACAGTTGTTTATTCTTATAGCTGCTGTTTGCTGCCAATACATATTCTTTATTATTTGTAGATCTTTCCCATCAATGTTTAATTTTCTCTAACAGTTTGATTACTTCTTCATGCTTCACACAGTCAAATGCTTTTCTATAGTCTATGAAGCATAAGTACAAATCAGTCTTTACTTCTATAGCTTTTTCTGACAATTTCCTTAGGATGTAAATGGCATTGATTGTACCTTTTCCTTCTAAAAATCCATATTGTTCACCGCTGATTTCTGGTTTAATTGTGTTTCTTATTCTTCTCATAATTATTCCCAGTAAAATCTTAGTCACGTGACTCATAAGACTTATTGTGCGATGGTCTTTACATTTTAAAGTGCCTGGTTTCTCTGGCAGAGCTATAAATATGGATTTTAAAAGGTCATTTGGAATATACACACTATTATAAATATAATTTAAAAGTTTAGTTATTATTTCAATTCCAAAAACTCACAGTGCTTCGATTTCTTCCAGTGAGATGTTGTCTGGCCCGGGTGCTTTTCCTTTCTTCATATGATGTATTGCATCCTCAACTTCTGCAGTCATTATTGGTGGACCATCATTGTTGGTCTATTATCATCTTACAATTCTCCTATATACTCTGTCCATCTGTTAATTATATTACTATGTCCCATTAATAAGTCACCATCTTTTGATTTCTAACATCCAGTGCTGTTACGTGTCATCTTTCCTGTTAACATATCTATCTCTTGGTACATGGAATGCGAGTCTTTCCTTTGATTTTCCCCAATCTCTGTACACATTTGATTCAGTCTGGCTTCTTTAGCCACTTTGCATTTGTTCACTATTTCTTTTTGTATTCTAGAGTATTCTTCTTTATCATTCTTTTTCTTCCTTCTTTCATCCATCAACTGCAGAATTTCGGTTGACATCCATTTCTTTTTTGCAACTCTATGGGTTGGTGGGATTGTCTCTTTTGATTTCTGCTGAATTGACTCAGGCAACATATCCCACTGTTCATCAATAGTCTGTATAATTTCCATTGCATTATACCGGTTTTGTACAGTGACATTGTACTGTTTCCTAATTTCTTTATCCGTTCTAAAAATTCCTAAATTGAACTTGATGTTCTGTGGTGTTTTTCTAGTGTTCTTTAGTTTTATTCAAATTTTTCCTACAACTGGAACATGGTCACTAAAGCAGTCTGCCCCTGGTCTAGTTTTTGCTCCAACTAAGCTGCTCTGGAATCTTCTTGAAATCAAAATATAGTTAATCTGATTGTGGACATTATCACCAGGACTTTTCCAAGTCCACAATCTTCGAGGATGGTGTTTAAACCAGGTGTTACCTATTATCATGCTGCGCGACTCAGCCCATGCTATTAATCTGTCACCTCTCACATTCTTTTCTCCTAGGCCATAGCCACCCGTTATTCCGTTCACTTTTTCACTTCCTACTTTCGCGTTGAAATCTCCAAGTACCATTGTTACTTCACAATTTTTGCATTGATCAACAGCCATGTCTAACTCGTCATAAAATGCGTCAATATCTTCCTCTGAACTATCTGCTGTTGGGACATAAATCTGTACTGTTGATGTCAAACGGTCTGCTGCGAAGTTTTACTAATAGTACTCTATCTGATATTGTCCAAAATCCTTTAACAGTTTTTGAGTTCTTTGGATCCAAAATAATACCAAGTAAATAATTTTGTGCTGATCTTAATACTTTTCCCCTGCTCCTGGCCATCGC